TCGCTTCATGGCCAGCCTGATGACGGCTGAGACCTGCGCCAAGCTGGAGCCCGAGGATGGTGGGTGGCCCCCAGTAAGGAGGGGATGGGCAGGGGGTTCTCCCCACAGTGAGGTGACCACCAGCGTCCCCTTCTGTCCCCACAGCCGATGAGACGGTAGACGTGACAGGTGGTGAGCCGGAGTGTGCGGCCAGCGAGTACCAGGTGGCACCTTACCCAGCAGCCAGCCCTGAAAATGTCTACGAGACCTCAGCGCGTCTCCTCTTCATGGCTGTGAAATGGGCCAAGAACTTGCCAGTCTTCTCCAACCTGCCCTTCCGTGACCAGGTGGGGTTCAGGACCCCCACCATGGGGCAGTGGGAACCCTAAAAAATGTAGGCACATGGTGGGGATGGCTGGAGCATCCCCACAACAGTCACCACGGGGTTTTGGGGTGTCCCTCAGAAGATGCTCTTCAGCCCAGCTCACTGCAGGTGTTGGAGGCTTTGGGGGTGACGGGTTTTTGGGGCTCCCCTCCCCAGGTGATTCTGCTGGAGGAAGCGTGGAGTGAGCTGTTCCTGCTCTGTGCCATCCAGTGGTCCATGCCCCTGGAGAGCTGCCCGCTGCTGGCTGTCCCCGAGCCAGCCCCTGGCAAGCTGCTGCCAGCCACCCTGGATGTCCGGGTGCTGCAGGAGACCCTCGGCCGCTTCAAGGCATTGGCTGTTGACCCCACTGAATTCGCCTGCATGAAGGCTGTGGTGCTCTTCAAACCAGGTGAGGGGACCCACCGACACCCACTGCTGCCCGTCCCCATGTCCCCACCCCACTCCATCACCCCCTTGTCCCCACAGAGACCCGTGGCCTGAAGGATCCTGAGCAGGTGGAGAACCTGCAGGACCAGTCTCAGGTGATGCTGGGCCAGCACAATCGTTCTCACTACCCCGGGCAACCCGTCAGGTACTGCTGTCCCCACGTCCCCATGGGCGACACCAGGGGTGTGGACATCCACTCATGGCCATTGTCCCATCCCCCAGGTTCGGGAAGCTTCTCCTGCTCCTCCCGGCACTGCGCTTCATCTCCTCTGAGCGCGTGGAGCTGCTCTTCTTCCGCCGGACCATCGGCAACACCCCCATGGAGAAGCTGCTGTGTGACATGTTCAAGAACTGACCCCTCCCCACCTCGATGTCATCTGACTTGTCTGTCACCCCGTCTTGGCTCCCTGTCACCCCCACCCTGGGTCTCCTCGCTCCAGGACGCTGCAGGGTGTGAAGGTGCCCGTGGTCCCATCTCCACGGTGATGGCCAGGACCATGGGACATTGCTGGCAGCTGGGATGCGGGACCAGTGTCACTGGGGACAGCTGGTGGCAGGGGAATGTCCCTGAGCGGGTGTCAGACACACTGGGAGCACCTCATGGGGATGGGTGCCTCAGTGGGTGCCATTGTCCCAAACCCATCCTGGAGGAACCCATGGACCCAGGCAAGGCACCCTTGCTGTGGCACAAGCACCCATGGGGACCTGCTGCCACCCAGAGGTGACAGCAGCTTGGGGGTGTACAGTGGGCCAGGGGTGATGCCAACCTGGGGATGACACTGGACATGGAGTGACACCAGCCCAGGCTATGACACAAGACCAAGGGTGACACTAGCCCAGGGGTGATGCCAACCTGGGGTATGACACAAGACTGGGTGACACTGGCATGCGATGATGCCAACCCAAGGGTGACATCAGCCTAAAGGTGACACTGGTCAACCCAAGAGCGACAATTGGCCAGGGGTGATGCCAGCCTGGTGGTGACATCAATTCAGGGGTGACACTGTCCCAGGGGTAATGCCAGACTAGGGGTGACATTGGCCATAGGGGTGATGGCCATCCTGGGGTTGATACCAGCCCAGGGGTGATGCCAGCCTGGGGTATGACACAAGACCAAGGGTGACACTGGCTGGGGGTGACAACAGCCCAGGGGTGATGCCAACCCAAGGGTGACACTGGCCAGGGGTGACCTCAGCCCAGAGGTGACACTGTCCCAGGGCCATCTGTCCCCAGCAACCCCAATCACTCAGGGGTGTAGGGTCCCCCCGTGGTGACTTCAGCCCCATGACCCCTGGGGACATGCGGTGACGGCCCCTTGTCCCTGTGTCCTGGTGTCCCCCGCTCTGTCCCCATTTGATACCACAAATAAAGAGGGATTTGCAGCCCGTCGCCTCGCCACTGCCTCAGGGTCCCCATCCTCGCCAGGGGGTGGCAGCGGGGACAACCCGCTGGGTGTGAATAACCTGAGGAGAAATAAATGAGAGAAAAAGAAATAATCCCGATAAAAATAAATGGAAAGGAAATTATCAAAATAGAGATAAATAAGTGGAAAAAAAATCTGAATATAAATAAATTCAGGAGAAATTATCTGAACAGAAACTCAATCAGAAATAATCTGAATTAAATAATCAGCATATAAATAGGATTAATAGAAATAATGTGAATATGAATACAATGAAATGAAATAATCTGAGTAGAAATATATAGAGAATAAATTATCTGACTAGGAATAACCTGAATGAAATACCATGAAAGTAATCTGAATAGAAATAACCTGAACTAATAATCTGAATATAAATAAAATTAATCTAAATAGAAAGAATCTGAATAGAAATAAATTGAAAATAAATTATCTGAATATAACAGAAATATAAACCATCTGATTAGAAATAATCTGAATTTAAGTAAAATGAAAATAAATGATCTGAAGAGAAATAAATTGAAAAAAATCTGAATAGAAACAAAACGTATATAAGTAAGCATAAATAATGTGCATACAAATAAGATTAATGCAAATGATCTGAATGGAAATTATCTGAATATAGATATTATGAATTAAATAATCTGAACAGAAATAAAATTAATATAACTAATCTGAAATAATCAGAATAGAAATAATCTGAATTAAATAATCTGAATATAATAAAACTAATATAAAGTCTGAAATAATCCAAATACAAATAAATTGAAAAAAACCCTATGTGATTATAAATTAAATATAAATAATCTGAATTTCAATAAAGCGCAAATAAATATTCTGAATGGAAATAAATTGTATATAAAATAGAAATAATCTGAATAGAAATAAACTGAATTAACTAATCTTAATATACAGAGCTGAATATAACAAATCTGAAATAATCTGAATAGAAATAACCCGAATTAAATAATCTGAATATAAATAATCCTCGTTACAGCTCTTTAATTAGCGTGGGGTTGGGGGAAGGGGGTTGCCAGGCTGAGGGAAATAAAAAATAATAATAATCCACAAATTGCACTTTATACACATCATGGTCTGATGGCAGATGGAAAAAATACTCCAAAAAAGGCCAAACCCCCCCAAAATGCAAGGGGAATTGGGGCAGGGGCACCAGGAATTCTTTACCTTTAGAGAAGTACATTTTTATTTCTCTCTTTTTTTTTTTTTAATGGTTTTGAGCGCGGCTGACACGGGATAATATATCCTCTTACCATACAGAATTTGTTTTTAATTTACACGCAGCAGACTTATAAATTACTTTAAAAAAATTTCCATTAAAAATAAAATAATAATAATAATAATAA